GAAATAACCATTTAGTGAGTCCTATGCCTTGGGGGACTGAAATAACCATGGGCTTAGTGATTGACCACTTTGTGGTCCAATATTTGTCGTGGATCCATTGACCAGTGTAGTGCTTGGCACTTAGTGATGTACCGTGGTTATGGTTGTATAGTGATTTCCATATTACATGTTAAATGATCTGAAGTATATATCAAATGATTTTCGTGTTATATGTATCAAGTTCTTTTTGGCCTAACTAATTATCCATGGTGAATTTTATGCCTTATACTCTTAGTATAATATTTCTCGCTCTGCCATGAGCTTATAATTTTTTTACCACTTTCAGGTGACATGTCGGGACCAGCGTGTGGAGTAGGCACGAAGCACTTTTATTGATGTATTTTTTTTATGTAAAAATCGGCCTTTTTGATCAATACCTTTTGTAATAAAAATAGAAACTCCAATGATTATTTTAGTACCCTTATTTAAATATTTCTTCCGCTTGCGTTTATTAAATTGTTTAAAGATTTGGCCGGAGGTAACCACGGTTACTGGCCATCACGATGCCTAACCCTTGGGTACGGGGAGCGGGTCGTGACATAAATTCTATAGAATAATTAAAAATCTGAGTTGTTACAATCTTCCCTCCTTTTAAAATTTCGTTCTCAAAATTTATCACATGTAAACTATCTGCTGCGCACTCTGATAAATATATATTAGATGATCAATCTGATAGAAATACTACCTCAAAAAAAAAACTTTACCAAGAATTACTCACTGTCTAGTTGTTAAAAATTGATTTGGGCCAAAATGAGAAATAAGGAACGACTAACTTTTCACTCGTTTTGTTTACGATAAAAATAAATAGAAATGAGAACACAATGACTGAATTATAGGCAAGAATTTAAAATTTTGAGATGAACTTTTCATTGACTGGAAATAGTTTCAAAATTAGTATCTTTATAATTTGAACCCATTTTTAAAAACATCAAAATAAATTTTTTTTTTGAATACTGAACTGAAAATTATATGTATTTAATTATATTATAACTTTGGTGGGTGCTTAAGCCCGACATCCTTCTTTTCTTGTCCTTCTTTTACTATAACAAATATAAATTATATCTAATATCCTTCACAAATTAGGCACACTAAAAAAAAAAAAAAAATTATTATATATATAATCATATAAAATTATAATATAATTAAATCGACGAACAAAATATATTTGAGATGAACTTTTCATTGACCGGAAATAGTTTCAAAATTAGTATCTTTATAATTTGAACCCATTTTTAAAAAAATCAAAATAATTTTTTTTTTTGAATACTGAACTAAAAATTATATGTATTTAATTATATTATAACTTTGGTGGGTGCTTAAGCCCGATATCCTTCTTTTCTTGTCCTTCTTTTACTATAACAAATATAAATTATATCTAATATCCTTCACAAATTAGGCACACTAAAAAAAAAAAAACTAAAAAAAAAATTATTATATATATATAATCATATAAAATTATAATATAATTAAATCGACGAACAAAATATAATAATTTGGTACTAATTACTCGTTATCCCAGTTCTTAAATGTGCGCCTGTCCTATGTTCCAATGATGATTTTTTTTTTTTTTTTATAAACTATTGCTCTGATACCATTTTGTCACGACCCGCTCCCCGTACCCAAGGGTTAAGCATCGTGATGGCCAGTAACTGAATTTACCTACGGCCAATTCTTAAACAAATAAATAAACGCCAGCGGAAAAAATATTTCAGTAAGGGTACCAAAATAATCATTTGAGCTTCTATTTATATTACAAAAAGTATTGACCAAAAAGGCCGATATTTACATATAAAAAAGTACTATGTATGTCTATTCCGCAGCCTCGCATCTAAGACTTTCCAGAATCTATTTTAGAATTGCATGTTTCTTGAAAATTGGTAAACAACTATAAGCACATGGCAGAATGAGAAATATTATACCAAGAGTATAAGGGACACGAAATAACCATGGATAGTTAATTAGGCCAAAACATTTATATAAATAAATCCTTTGAGTAGTAGAAATCATTTGAATAGCAGAACTGAAATACATAGATTATATAAGTAAATAGCCATAACCACGGTACAGAACAGAACAAAACAGAGGTCATAGAAGTGATAGTCAGAACAGAGGTACGGATGCAAGAGGTGGCTCGTACGGATTCTAGAGGTGGCTCCCACAATAGTGTAGCATTTAGTTCCGCACAGCACTTTGGTCCGCACAGAACAGAGGCACGGATTCAAGAGGTGGCTCGTACGGATTCTAGAGGTGGCTCCCACAATAGTGTAGCACTTAGTTCCGCACAGCACTTTGGTCAGCACAAAACAGAGGTCAGTGGATCCATGACAGACAGAGGGTCACAAAGTAACCAAACAAATGTCAATGGTTATTTAAGTCTCCTAATGCGTGGAACTTCCGTGGTGGTACTTACAAAACATAATTGTTTATAAGGTTATAATCAAATATTCTTTAAAATATAAACAGACATATCCATGAGTTTCATTTTAAGCAAATAGAGTTCAGAAGATAAACCACGTAACTGAAACCTTTATAAAACATAACTTTTATTAAAAACATAACTTGTGTAAAACAGATTTTGGTAAGTCAAAACATACGTAAAATATATTTTAATAACTCAAAGATATAATATAACTCACCTTAACTTTAATACCTTACTCTTCCTTTCCACTATCAAAGACCCTTTCACCTTCCATTATTTCCCCCTTCTTTTCCTCTCTTTCCTTTCTTTTCTTTCTTCTTTCTTTTCTTTCTCTTTTTCCTTCTTCTTTCCGTTCTCTCCCAGGCGCCTCCGTATTTATAGAGGAAAAGGCGCTACGTCGCAGATTTCAATAATAATTATAAAAGTTTAGTCTTATCTTTAATAGATATTTAAGGTAATTATCTTTTAACTCAATATTTTAATATAATTATATAAATAATTTAATTTTTAAATAAATTACATTTTATCGTATACCAACATAAAATTAATTATTTATTTTAATACCACACTCATTATTATTATTATTAATATTATCTATATTATTATTATTTATATTTTGACCTCTAAATTTTTAATAATTATATTATTTTACAAAATTACGCATAATAATATATAATAAATTATATGTTTTTGGAACATTAAATAATATTAGTATAAATTCTATAGAATAATTAAAAATCTGAGTTGTTACAACTTTAGTCCCTGACTTTTTAATTGTAACACATTTGACCCTATATTTTGAATCTTGTTCCAAATAAAAACAATTGAAAATATCATTATTTAATTTCAAAGGCAAAATCATCTATTTGATAAAATATAAACTAATTTAACCAAAATAAATGTCAAAAAATATTTTTAAAATTTTTAAAATTATTTTTACCAACTAAAGATAAAATTATGTAAAATTAATAAATTTTTTAGACATTTATTTTTTTTTTACCAAATTAATTTTTATTATTTGTTTGGATGATTATCATGTATAGATGGTTGTTAAGATTTTAATGTGTAATCAATATATTTAATATATAAAATTCTTTTAGTTTTGAATTTTTTGCTTTAATGGATTGGTTTAATGATGATATCAAAATTGTCGCCATATTTGACTTTTGGAAAAATAGAAACTAATTTAATGAATATAAAAACAATCGCACATTACAAAATCATTATCCAAACACATAATAAAAATCAATTTGATAAAAAAATGTCTAAAAGATTTATCAATTTTTCATAACTTTATTTTTAGTGGGTACAAATAATTTTTAAAAATTCAAAAATATTTTTTTTTGACATTTATTTTTATCAAATTAGTTTATATTTGATCAAATAGACAATTTTGCTCTTGAAATTAAGTAATGGTATCATCAATTATCCTTATTTAGAACAAGATTCAAAATTCATAATTAAAAGTGTTACAATTGAAAAGTCATTGATCAAAGAAATACAAGTGTCAAACTATATGGACCATTAGGGTAATTCGCCCAAAAATTAATATAATTTACCCTTGTTTAAATTATTTTTAAATAAAAATTATAACAAACAAATTAAAATAAAGTCAATATATATATATCAACCAAAAATACTTGGAACTCCCAAAGTTGAGAAGTGTGACCCCCAAAATAACGTGGATCAATTCATGGGTTTTTATTTTTTTGTTTTTTCTTTTTCTTTTTCTTTTCTTTTCTTTTCTTTTCTTTTCTTTTCATCTTGAACCAATCACAAATAAGTAAGAATGGCAAAAGTTGTGTTTTTTCTGAAAGTATGTAGCATTGTTGATATATCAACGTCATAAATTGCATCATTGGCTGAGTCTCAACTATATCAACGTCAGTTGGTTTCGAAATAAATAAGCTATTTATTTTGAGTAATATTAAGTATCAAAAAAAAAAATTATGAAAAAAATTATGAAAAAATTTTCACCGTTAAATAACACATACAAGAAAATATCACACATAATTAAAGGATAAAAAATCTTAATGAGACATTTCATGATATTTTTTTCATAATCCCTAATATTATTCATTTATTTTCCATATGTAAGTGAAGATGGATTGATGATCATGTTATCATGATAGATCGTAGCCGTCCACCAAAAGGGCGCAGGAGAGAGAGCCTAGACTGGCACCACAGGGGAGAAGAAAAGGCTGACTGATTCAAAATAAAAAAAAAATTTAAAAAAATAATAATAATCTTGACGTATACTGAAAAAGCATATGATAGGACAAAAAATTCACTTTATTCTCAGCACCACCGCGTGGAAGTTTACAAGCACCACCACACTCCCCATCTTTTCTCCTTTCACTCGGTTAAACAACCTTTGCCCCTCTCTCTCGCGCCATCACAAACGCGGATCAAACACTCATTTCACTAGTTCTATAAATATGTTTCATACCCTAATCTAACTAACAAACACAACACCACTACATATTGTCTAATTTTGCTTTTACTTTATGCTCGAATTCTGACATTTGATAAGAAAGCGTCTCATCCATCAAATCGATCTTGGTCTGCTTACGAAAAAAAAACTACAATGGAGGCACCGGGATTTCGCTTCTACCCAACCGAGGAAGAGCTGGTTTCATTCTACCTGCGCACCAAGCTGCAAGGGAACCGACACGACATCAACCGTGTCATCCCTGTCATCGACATTTATGAACACGAGCCATGGCACCTTCCAAGTCCGTCTTCCAACATTTTACTTCATTTTAATTTTCCAATAAATGTGCGTTTCATAATTTATTTTTTTTATTTTTTTTTTTTGTAGAGCTTTCGGGGGAGGTGTGTCATGGAGAGACCGAGCAATGGTTCTTTTTCGCCCCGAGGCAAGAGAGGGAAGCCCGGGGAGGGAGACCTACCCGGACCACTGCTTCTGGATTCTGGAAGGCCACTGGCTCACCGAGCTATGTCTACTCGTCCTTCAACCGAGTGATCGGAGTGAAGAAGACAATGGTGTTCTACAAAGGGAAAGCTCCTTCCGGAAGAAAAACCAAATGGAAGATGAATGAGTACAGAGCCATTGAAGAAGAATCTCCCTCTCAATGTGGCACTACTGTCCCAAAGGTGCATATATACATATCATGATTTTAAATAATAGTTTCGAGATTTGGGGTATCAATATATATCAGCATTAGAAGTCTAAAATCACGATATGTATTGACTGATATTTAAAACTTGCTACATAAATAATAGCGTGAAATTTCACATTTTTGAAGTTCTAACTAGTGAGAATTTTTTTGGATGCAGTTGAGGCATGAATTAAGTTTGTGCCGAGTTTATGTCGTGTCGGGGAGCTTTCGAGCATTCGATCGACGCCCACTGGCGGCGGAGACGAGTGAAGCAATAAACCAGCAGGATCATGGACATGGGACTGTGATGAAACCTTCCCAAGCCACTCGAACAATCTCACCTGAAACTTCATGGTCAGAAGAAAAACATTTTGAACTTCCAGTGAACAATTTGGGGGTTGTCAATGGCTCAGAACCTCTATGGGAGTTGGAAAAACTTGATTGCCTTTTTAAGTAAAAAAAGAGTCCCACTCTTCTCCAGTTAACTTCTCCGGTTAACTGTTGTGAGAGAAACCGTGTGATTGAGCTACAGTTTGGTACAAGTTTTTTGTTGTACACAGTTCCTCTCTAATTAATTGGCTTTCAGTTGTTGGTCCCGTGATTTGTCTCACAACTGTTAACCGGAGAAGAGAGGAGTCGTGTACAATTAAAAACTTGCATCAAACTCTAGCTCAATCATACACCAAGCTAAAACTGTGGAGTAACTTCAAGAAGCTGGCATAGTTAGATTTACCAAGAAAACTAGGAAGAATGTATTTGTAGTTTTGTATATTAGGAAAGAAATGGGTGTAATTTTTTTTTTGTAACGTGTAAAATTGGTTTATTTTTGTTTAGAATGTGTAATTGATCTACATGAATAAACTCTTGAAAAGAAAATGATGGATTTTTATGTTTTGAGGTTTTATCATTGTATTCAATAAGGTAGAATATGTTTGTAATTTTGTGTATTAGAAAAAAAGTGCTAAACTAGAAATGGGTGTAAAAAAAAATTTATCATGTAAACTTAGTTTATTTTTGTTGAGAATTTGGAACAGGGTTACATAAATAAATTCTTGAAAAGAAAATGATGGGTTTGTGAAGCAATGAGATTTAATCATTGTACAGAATTTTTTTTTTCTATCCCATTGACCTATTTAATGAAATACAACTCCTAAAAGTGAAAGACTAATTACAAAGTCAATGAGGATAATGGAATTGAAAATTATGGGTGATGAGAAAATAAGCAATAGGATTAATAAAAAAAAAAAAGAAGAAGCAATTCTGAGAAATTATATGCCACTTACTTCCAATTGTATGAAATCAGATCAATTGTTGGAATTATCAACCAAAATAAAAATAAAAATAGAAAGTTGGACTCGTTCTCTTGTGTAATAGTTGGAATTCTGAAGTAATGTGTTGATATAATAATTTTGAAGAAAAAAAAATACAAGATATGATAAATAGCGAATAGACGCAAAATATATAATTTATTTATTTTTGTATTATATAATATGAATAATTCAATCAAACACTATAACAAAAAGCACTTTTGGCGACTAAAATTACATTTTTTGTCGCTGAAAGTAGTACAATTGGCAACTAAAATGGAATTAGTCGCCAAAATTGATAACTTTTGCCGACTAAAAGAGTTTAGTCACCAAATATGAGGGTATTAGCGACTAAAAGGCAGTTTAGTCGCCGAATGTAGGGGTTTTAGCGACTAAAGATTGTTTAGTAGCCAAAAGTCACGGTTTTTGGCTACTAAAAATGATTTAGTAGCCAAAAGTGATGGTTTTGGCGACTAAATACAGTTTAGTCGCTGAAAGTGAAGCTTTTTGGCTACAAAAAAAAAATTAGTAACTAAAACCAGTCCATTGCCAACTAAAATTCAGATTAGTAGCCAAAAGGGGACGTTTTTGGAGACTACTACTTATTTCTAGGCGGAACTTAATTTTTTGGCGACTAAATAATAATTAATAGCGAAAAATGATAGAATTGGCGACTAAAAATTTAATTTAGTCGCCAAAAGTGGCCTAAATTTTTTTTAAGTAAATAATTTATTTTTTACGTAAATTATATTGAATTAAAAAAATTATATTTATATATATTATTTTGTATTAATAGTGGTTAATATACTATATAAATAATATATATTGCATATATATTCATGTGATGTTATTGTGGCATAGTGGAGGGAGTGTGTTGCAAAAGGTTTGGAGTGTGGTGGTGGGATGTCTCAGGTTCGAAACCTGCGAGCAATAGGTTTTAAAAAAAAATAAAGGAGCTTTGGCGACGAAATTTGTGGGCGACTAAAAATTTAGTCGCGAAAAGTGATTTTTCTTGTAGTGTAGATATCAATCAAATCCTAATGAATCACATCTTAGTGCTGTTAAAAGAATTTTTAGATATCTTGTTGGCACTCAAAATTTGGGACTTTTTTATCTTAGAGGTGTTGCATTTGATTTAATTAGTTACTCAGATGCCAACTTTGCCGGATGGAAACTTGATAGAAAAAGCACCAATGGCACTTGTTACTTTCTTGGTAATTCATTAGTATCTTGGTTTAGCAAAAAGCAAAATTCTATTACTTCATCAACGACCAAAGCTGAATATAAAGCTTCCAGAAGTTGTTGTGCCCAAATATTTGCATTATGATCATATCCCTATTAAATGTGATAATACTAGTGCCATCAATTTAAGCAAAAATCCGGTTCAATACTCATGAACAAAACATATTGAAATTCGACATCATTTTTTAAGAGATCATGTTCAAAAAGGGGATATTGTACTTGAATTTGTAAACACCGACGGAAGAATAAAACTTTAGAAGAGATGAGTAGATCAATGCTTTACGAAAATAATCTTCATAAATATTTTTTGGCCGAAGCCGTTCACACCACATGCTTAAGTTTGTGCCGAGTTTATGTCGTGTCGGGGAGCTTTCGAGCATTCGATCGACGCCCACTGGCGGCGGAGACGAGTGAAGCAATAAACCAGCAGGATCATGGACATGGGACTGTGATGAAACCTTCCCAAGCCACTCGAACAATCTCACCTGAAACTTCATGGTCAGAAGAAAAACATTTTGAACTTCCAGTGAACAATTTGGGGGTTGTCAATGGCTCAGAACCTCTATGGGAGTTGGAAAAACTTGATTGCCTTTTTAAGTAAAAAAAGAGTCCCACTCTTCTCCAGTTAACTTCTCCGGTTAACTGTTGTGAGAGAAACCGTGTGATTGAGCTACAGTTTGGTACAAGTTTTTTGTTGTACACAGTTCCTCTCTAATTAATTGGCTTTCAGTTGTTGGTCCCGTGATTTGTCTCACAACTGTTAACCGGAGAAGAGAGGAGTCGTGTACAATTAAAAACTTGCATCAAACTCTAGCTCAATCATACACCAAGCTAAAACTGTGGAGTAACTTCAAGAAGCTGGCATAGTTAGATTTACCAAGAAAACTAGGAAGAATGTATTTGTAGTTTTGTATATTAGGAAAGAAATGGGTGTAATTTTTTTTTTGTAACGTGTAAAATTGGTTTATTTTTGTTTAGAATGTGTAATTGATCTACATGAATAAACTCTTGAAAAGAAAATGATGGATTTTTATGTTTTGAGGTTTTATCATTGTATTCAATAAGGTAGAATATGTTTGTAATTTTGTGTATTAGAAAAAAAGTGCTAAACTAGAAATGGGTGTAAAAAAAAATTTATCATGTAAACTTAGTTTATTTTTGTTGAGAATTTGGAACAGGGTTACATAAATAAATTCTTGAAAAGAAAATGATGGGTTTGTGAAGCAATGAGATTTAATCATTGTACAGAATTTTTTTTTCTATCCCATTGACCTATTTAATGAAATACAACTCCTAAAAGTGAAAGACTAATTACAAAGTCAATGAGGATAATGGAATTGAAAATTATGGGTGATGAGAAAATAAGCAATAGGATTAATAAAAAAAAGAAGAAGAAGCAATTCTGAGAAATTATATGCCACTCACTTCCAATTGTATGAAATCAGATCAATTGTTGGAATTATCAACCAAAATAAAAATAAATATAAAAAGTTGGACTCGTTCTCTTGTGTAATAGTTGGAATTTTGAAGTAATGTGTTGATATAATAATTTTGAAGAAAAAAAAATACAATATATGATAAATAGCAAATAGACACAAAATATATAATTTATTTATTTTTGTATTATATAATATGAATAATTCAATCAAACACTACAACAAAAAGCACTTTTGGCGACTAAAATTATATTTTTCGTCACTGAAAGTAGTACAATTGGCGACTAAAATGGAATTAGTCGCCAAAATTGATAACTTTTGCCGACTAAAAGAGTTTAGTCACCAAATATAAGGGTATTAGCGACTAAAAGGCAGTTTAGTCGCCGAATGTAGGGGTTTTAGCGACTAAAGGTTGTTTAGTAGCCAAAAGTCACGGTTTTTGGTGACTAAAAATGATTTAGTAGCCAAAAGTGATGGTTTTGGCGACTAAATACAGTTTAGTCGCTGAAAGTGAAGCTTTTTGGCTACAAAAAAAAGTAGTAGCTAAAAACAGTCCATTGCCGACTAAAATTCAGTTTAGTAGTCAAAAGGGGACGTTTTTGGCGACTAAAAACAGGTTTACTCGCCAAAACTACTTATTTCTAGGCGGAACTTAATTTTTTAGCGACTAAATAATAATTAATAGCGAAAAATGATAGAATTGGCGACTAAAAATTTAATTTAGTCGCCAAAAGTGGCCTAAATTTTTTTTAAGTAAATAATTTATTTTTTACGTAAATTATATTGAATTAAAAAAATTATATTTATATATATTATTTTGTATTAATACCGGTTAATATACTATATAAATAATATATATTGCATATATATTCATGTGATGTTGTAGTAGCATAGTGGAGGGAGTGTGTTGCAAAAAGGTTCTAAATGTGGGACGGTTGGGGTTCGAAACTTAGAAAAAGCAAAAAAAAGTGGGTTTTTTTTTTCAACGGAAACACCTTTGGCGACTAATAAAGTCTTTATTTTGGCGACTAAATAGTGTAGTCGGTGATTGAGTGAGTATTGGTGACTAAATTATTAGTCGGTAAATGTATGATTTTCAAAAGTGTAAAACACTATTGGCGACTAAAATTTTGGTCGCTAAAGACTTTTATTTTGGCGACTAAAAAAGTTTTAGTCGCTAATACCTCCGCCAACCACATATACGCCACAAATGTGGCGACTAAAAAATTTTGTCGGGGAAAGTAAAATTTGGACTTTTGGCGACTAAAAACGATTTTTTGGGGACTAAAAATTTAGTCGCCAAAAGTGCTTTTTTTTTTATAGTGAAATATAACATTAATTTCTAAAATTTAAAGGAGAGAATAAATAGGTATAAATTTATATTTGTGTTATCATTGAATTTTAAGTTATTTCATTCAATTTAAAATATATTTCATGTGTGTTTGTTGAGGATATAAATAATAAAATCACCCTTTTCTCTAAGGGTTTAAATTTTGGGGAAATATCAAATCAGCGGGGGTTTGAAAAAAATAATTACAAATTAATAAAAAAAATTATAAATATTAATAATTAAAATTGTAAACTTTTCCATGAATATGTAATTTTTTTCCTGATTACATTGGGCTACAATTACCCCTTAAATTTTTAGATGAGCTGATAGTTAACAATTTAATAAAATTCCAAAATGGACAATAGACTATATATTCGAACATGGCTTACCGCCTATTTATAATTATAATACTTACACATATTTGATTTAGTTTATAAAGAATGGTTTCGTGTTGGCGCCATATTTAAACCATCCAATTCGAAAGTGACACATGACAGGCAAAGAGTGTTCTGTGGTATTTAATGAGATAGTGAAGAGTCCCACCTACAAAGATGAACACGTGAGCTGTGAATGTAAGTATTCAACCG